TTATTTGGGCACACCAGCTGACTCATCAAATAATGTAATACGTTGTGGATAACCACCAAAATTTCTTATATTTTTATGAATCCATTCTAATGCTAATTGTTGATCAAATAGACCTTGATTACCTGGAGCATCTGGTGTGCCCAAATAAAGAAAACCAAGTGAATCAACACGATATTCAATTGATATAACAATAACATTTTGAGTTGATGACAATATTGAACCATCATATAACAGTAATGTACTCTAAAAATGAAAGAAAATTTTTTTTGAGGAAATAAAAACAAGGATGTGTGTGGGTGCAGGTGTGGGTGGGTGATTGTGGGTGTGGGTGTGGGTGTGAATTAATACTGCAGCAACACACCCACACCCACAACCTATGTTTTGCATTTAGTCAAAGTAAAAACGTGGCGATCCGAATCCAATACATCTTGTAGAGCGAATGATTTTCTACAAAACCCTACATACGGCAATGTTCTGTAATTCTAATTGTCCGAAACATTTTTTATTCAAGAAAACATACCTTTGCATAGCCAGTGTGTTTCATTCATCAAAGGGTAATATCAAAATACTGATAAAATCGTAATATTTTATAGTCAAAATGTAGCCCTGATCAGGGAGAATCAGAATATGTATAATCCATATACATTGTGAAGAATTTAGCATTTATTTTGAAAACCTTCGAAATCCTCTAAAAAATAATTTTTTGGAAAAATCCTAATTTTTATGATTTTTCTGAAAATCATCGAAATTTCACGCTCGATATGTCCCTATTTTTTAATGAAATTTACAAAATTGGCTCGGCCGATTATCACATTTCAACATGGTCTACAAAGCCTGAACGTTTCATCGAATTTGGAAATACTTGTGGATATTGTGTTAGAGACCCCATAGAATACCCCACATATAGCCTACAATGCATGACGTTATTTCCGTTGATTCGATCATTAGACTCACTTGACCATTTTTTCCTCCAAATATTTTATCACCATTTGATAGATCTCGAGCAGATCTATCGATTAGTGTATAATCTGAAGTGGGTTTGCATGTTTCACGAAAGGAAAAGTCATCTGCCATGATCGTCATATATGTATATAACTCATATAGTCGTGTTCTTTGCTTAAAAATGTTAAATAATCCGGCCATCGTTTTTCTTAAATGTTTTCATATCAGAAGATGCAGTTTTTCACGGGCTTTCTTCTGGTATCATAAAATTTCTGGAACCCCGCTAGTTTTCGATCTCACGGCTCCAAATACTTTGAAAAAACGTGAAAAAACCAAAGATTTTTTTGTTAAAAGTATACTCTATGGGCTCGTTTTCTCCCCATAATGATGTGTCTGATGGGTTGAAAAAGACATAGATAAATAGAATAAAACATGCTCTTTCTTTTGGTAAAAGATAATACTATGTTGATGCCCAAAATAGTAGTGTGATTTGGATTATACTAAAAATTACAAAAAAATGACCATTTTTCCTTATCTCTCTCGACCCTGTTTTCAGTGCGGGTGTGGGTGTGTATAGCTATGAGGAAGTGAAGCATTAATATCCATGGCCTCCACGCACACCCAAACCTTCACTGAAACCTACACTCAACACCCAAATTCAACAACCACCCAAAAGTGTTTATCGAATTAGGTCGTGGCTCTCGTGCGACGACTCCTAACTACTCGAGATAGCTATGAAGACCCTCTGCAAGTGTCCGTATGACTTTCTTCAGTATTCTTGCAAACTTTGCCAGCTATTGCCAAAAGCTGTATTGATGTAACTACAGATCCCCTAGTATAAAATGGCACTTGTAGTCATGAATCATCTTTCAAACAGTTTTTTCGTTCCTTCGATTTTATTTATAGGGTAGTGATTTAGATTTTTCCTTTGACAAGAGAATAAAGCCATCGAGATCGATCAAACAACTGAATATGCGCAGATTAGCATAAAGTGTTGACTTCACGTGTATTTATGTTAGTGTGAAGTATTTGAGTAAAACACTAGCACTCATACGCATTCCCTCAGCCAGTGAAAAACAAGGTCTATTTGATAAGTAGTATAAAAACTAAATCACTTGAACAATGGCTCTGCGATTAGTACGGACATTATCATCAACTACAGTTAGCTGTGGATCGGTTATTGTGAAAAAGTCATTAATAATAACACTTTGTTCTATTTTCGTGCCCATTAAACGTAGTAGAATCACTAGCCATTGTGTACCCCATAAGAATTAGTCTGTTACACTTGTATGATAGACATTCATTGGAAGTAATCGTTTATGATGGTACCTATATTAATTGCCAGTTTTACACAAATGACGACATTTTTCATCATAAATGCATACTAGAGCACAGTAAAAAATGAAGGATATAAATAAACACAACTTCTCCAATAGATAATACACTATGTTCTTACATATTGGTAATGCAAACCCTCGAATACTAATGGATATTAAGACTAAAAGAACTAATAGTGCAAGTAAATATTTCAGTTGGAAAACTGTATTTGTTGTCCACATACTCAACCAATATTTCCACTTCTTGATCATCCCAGATGATATGTGTTCTGGCGATGTATTTGATAAAGATGTTAATGGCACAGATTCTGCTGGTACACCTAAGTAAAATTGATGATTATCAGCTTCGCTGGTACCATTTTGTAAAGATATAATACGTGTTATATTACCTATTGTTGTCCATGATTTAACTTCTGCACCCTGATGTATGGTAACCATGCTACCGAGAATAACACTTTCAGTTAAATGTATTTTATTAACCATGCATTCTTGCTTATGTTTCATTTCCATTGGTAGTAGCGAATAATCACAATTTATTGTGACCTTATCGTCAATTTGTATCGGATTAAGTGGACCAGAAAAACCAACAAAACTGTCTGGTATGATAATCCCAATTGCAATATTTCCTCTAACCACGACACTCAAATAATGGTGACATTTTTTCGGTAAAATAGAAAATGAATGAAGAAATGCATCTGAAATTACATTATTAGTCGTTCCGAAATGGTATCATCAATTTTTCGCCGGCTTCAACTTTTCCCAGTCGCATGACTTCATCATCGAGGAAACAAGTGCGAATGATATTAGGTGGATTTCAATTTCTGATGTTACTAACATGCAATGGACAACTTTAGCCTAAAGTTTTGCCTTCAGATAAATTCAGAGTCTCTATCCTAACACTAGGTCGGGTGTGCGTGTGAGTATGGCTGTGCACGTGGGCGCATGGGCGTGGGTGTGCGGGAGTGGGTGCGCCTAGGGTGTGAGTGGATGTGGGTGAGGCTATAGTAAAAAAGACACATGACCAGACCCACACCGACACCGACACCTACAACCACACACCCACACCCACATCCTCGTGGATATTTGTTCATAGTTTCTTCTGATTGAATTGGACAATTTATAATGCGATTTAATTTTAATGTACTGGGTAATTCATAACCGAGTGAAGTCATTTCGTGCAATAATGTTAAAGAACCAAAATAATTATCAATAAAAATATGTGAACCTTTTTGTATATCATCTAATAAATCGATAACTATCATTCCTGATTGACCACAACGTTTTTATATCTTCAGATTGCTTAGTTAGCTTTTTATTATCTTCATCATTTCTATGTTTTGAATGTGTTTGAAGTTCGGATGAAGCTGTTGTAAATGACGATAGTTTCATTTGCACTAGAGGCATATTTCTATTAGCATCTGGGTATAATTTAATACGATACCTATATGCAGAAACATGTCGGTTATTCAACAAATCAATTAAAGGTTGTATTCTATCACTAGGCTGTTTTTGAAGAGCATTATTACCAAAATGTAATGATCTTAAAAATTCATCTATTCGGTTTCTAGTTGTAATTTTCATCACTACCTCAGAACCACATACCGACGTCCAATAACCTGATTTGCAGGATAATTTGCTTAATGATGAATAAAACAAAAAAACAATTATTAGTGTGATTGTTGTGCAATGTAATCAACCATTTCTGATGTTAAATATAAATTTAAAAAGTCGTACGGTGATGGTGTTTTAGGCAAATCGATATACTCCTTTAACATAAATTTTTCACCAAAGACAGGCAAATCAGGTTCAAATTTTGTTGTTTTTTTGACCATTGAATACCGGGTGTTGCAGAAGTTTTGCGACATTTAAAAAAATTAGTTCATTTCAAGAGAAGACAAGGTAAGAAGACAACAATATGATGCTCTAAAAGCTACTTAGGTCAGTCCAAAAGTAGTTGCGGAGGTATGATAATCCTTCAAAGGAGGGTTCGATGATTTTTTTTTTCTATGCAGTCTGATAGAGAAAAGAAAGCTCTATTTTTCTATGCTATTTGATCTTATTCAAACTAATCCTATGATAATAAAATTTCTATAAGACTTGTTTTGGTCGGACGTGTGCTGGTTGTACTATATCATATTCTGTGTTCCATACGCGTAATATTCTTGCTATTCTCTTTTTTCCTTTTTTTTTCGTCTTCCTCAGTCCCGAACTGTGCGTACATGCATGTGAAAAGACACGTGTTTTGTTTGTTTTGTATATAAACATAGTATATAATTGTGTTTTAAGGAGGATAAAGCAACACACTTCGATTAAATCACAGTAGTATTCACTCTTATGAATATGAATAAGAAAAACTTTCGTTTCTACATCAAAGTACGCACTGCACTTAATATTCGAGCAAGAATTATTTACGATGAATTATGTTCCGTTTTGGCGATCAAACTCCTGCGCTTAGGACGGTGGAATGGTGGTCTAAATTATTTCGAGAAGGAAGAGAAAATGTTGAAGATGAAGAAAGACCTGGCAGACCTATAACCGAGACAACATCTGAAAATATCGAGCAAGGTCGTAGCCTTATCAATGATAATCCTCATATTACAATACAAGAAATGGAGGTTCAAACTGGTCTCAGCCATGGCACTATCCATCGAATACTATCCGATCATCTGAATTTGAAGAAACTCACTGCTCGTGACATACCTAAGCAGCCGACTGATTCACAAAAGGCTGAACGAGTTCGAATATGCAAAGAAAATTTAGAAAAATTCGAATCAGGTGCATGGAGATTATGTGATGTTATAACAGGTGATGAATCATGGTTTTACCATAAACACATTGGTCGAAAGTTGTCCAATTCTGCTTGGGTTTCAAGAAATGATCCTCCACCTACAGTAGTACGACAAAGTCCTTATGCCCCAAAAACTTTAATGAGCATCTTTTTCAAATCAACTGATCCTGTTTTTATTCATCATGTAGAACGGGGGCAGACTATCGACCATCGGTACTATATCGATAATTATTTAGAACCTCTTATTGATAACATCAAAAGACAACGTCCTACTTGTGGTGTCCAGGGTATCAAACTTCATTACGATAATGGGTGACCACATGTTCATAAGGAAGTATCAAATTATCTTGAATCGGAAGGTATTACAATAATCAAACATCCACCTTATTCTCCGGATTTGGCACCGTGTGATTTTTGGTTATTCGATTTTATCAAACAAAATATACCCGATCAAAGTAATTCAGAATCGTACATCAGGCTGTATCCGACTTCATGAACTCCTTAAGTAAAGAAGAATACAGAAAAACATTCGATAAATGAATTCAACGTATGCGCTTATGCGTGGATAATCGTGGCGATTACTTCGAACATTTGATGAAATAAGAGCTTGGTGAACTCTATATTTTTTCGTTCTGATGCCATTAGACATTGCATATCTTGATATGTATAAACAGCTCGGGACTGAGGAAGACGAAGAAAAAAAGAGAATGGCAAGAATATTACGCGTTTGGAACACAGAATATGATATAGTATTAACCAGCACACGTTCGACCAAAACAAGTCTTATAGAAATTTTATTATCATAGGATTAGTCTGAATAAGATCAAATAGCATAGAAAAATAGAGCTTTCTTTTCTTTATCAGACTGTATAGAAAAAAACATTATCGAACACTCATTTGAAGGATTATCATACCTCCGCAACTACTTTTGGACTGACCTAAGTAAATTCTAATTTAAGACAAAAAAAAATGAACAAAATATTTTCTCATACATTATTTTTCTGTGCATGATAATACAAGTTCAGAACTAGTATCATATATATATCTTCATTTTCCCTTAAATATTAAAATATACGATGATCAAATGAATTTATAATCGAACTATGTCATAATCGTTGAGATAATAAAATTTTTGTTTCAGGTAATGAATAGAACCGATGAAACAAAATACGTAATTCCTTGACATAAACAAACAATAAATTTCATTTGATTCAAAAGAAATACAATAAAAGAAAAACAAAATACGAAATGATAAAATACCTAACATATGAGAGAGAGAGACGAAAGAAAAAAAAGAAATAGCGTAAGAGAGTAATTTTTTTCTTTCTCTCGTCCATAAGTCATCGCTCATGTTATCGTTGATCATCAATGATAATATTCTCATAATTAATGTGTAGATCAATTAAGCTATATCCACACACATACATTAAGTTATTTGTGATTGAATATATTTCAATGCATGTGTGTGTGCCCCGATTATAGCTTAATTGAAATCGTCTTGTAATTTTTTTTCGACGAGAAAAAAAACAATTTTTCGAGGATATAAAAATGAATGATTTCTAACGAAGGAATCATTCAATTATTTGAATTATATAATAATTCATTTGTTTCATATTTTAGACTGGCTCGATGACGATACAAAATTAAACAATTCAACTTCAAGCAATACAATAAACTAAAATGTAGGTATCAGTTTTTTCTTTTTTTTTTCTTTTCTTTTGGATCATATGGAGGGTAGTAAGTTCTCCTCTAATCCTTTAAATGTATGTTTTTTTTTCAATTTTATTTTAGAGAATGAATGTTAACAAAAAGATAATAGAAAGTAAGTTATTCTTTTCTTTTCTGCATACATGTTATTCATTAATTTTTTTTCTCTTTTAGCCATCAATATGATCGTGTCGTGTCATCGTCAACACTATCAAACAGGGTGAGTAATGTTTGTTTTTTTCTCTTGAGGATGAGAATAGATGAGACTCAGACAAGTGAGTGTTATTAGGGGGAGGGGGATTTTTGTTCATTGAGGTTAGTTTCGCGTTATATGAAGGACTTCCGGGTAGTCCCTAAAAGCCCGGCCAGGAACTGCTTTGGTGTCCGTGGCACACGACCTGGCCTCCCCAGACTCACTGACACATGACATTGGATGAGTGCATGTGAATGATGTGGGTCTTCCCGCGCGTGTATGAGCCTTACGCTCGCAATGGCTCCACCAGGGTAGTTCGTGGTCGCGCGCGAATACAATAAACATTCATTTCTTCAATTCAACGTGAATTTATTTGAAAGGAAAGAAAAAAATCCATCGTCATGAAGTTCATTCGATAGAAAATCGTTGAACACGATAATTTCCATAATCGGTGACATAGAGGTTGCCTTGTCGATTGAAGGACAAACCCCGCAGACCGTTGAACTGATTTACTCCTTTTTCTTCACCATTTCCACCCACAATGACAGTGCCTTACTTCGCTCCTTTAGGCCAACGCATCACACGATCATTCGCTGAGTCTGCCACATAGACGGTATCCAACGTATCGACGAACAGTCCTCGAGGATACGACAATTGTGTCAGAGAACTCCCTTCGCCTTGACCTTCAGCGACGACAATTCCTTCTTTTGCACCTTTATTCCATTTCATCACACGATGATTGTTGTGATCTGACACATAGACAGTCTTTTGTTGATCAACAAAGATGTAGGTCGGCCAGTTGAGTTGATTGAGACCAGCACCTTGGCCATTGCCACCAGCTACGATAGTTCCATTCTTGTCTCCTATTTGATATCGTCGTACTTCATTTTTTTTGGTGTCAGAGATGTAGAGATATCTCTGATCATCCATGGTCAATCCCCAACAATCGATGTTGCCAATGAGGATTTCTCCTTGATTTGTGCCACTATGACGAGACCATCGTACAACTCGTCGATTCCCCCAATTACAAATAATGAGACTATCAGTCTCTTTGTCTATCAACACATCGGTTAGTCGATACAATTGATCCAATCGATTTCCTCGGCCATTGCCACCAGCTACCACGTGTCCATTCGTATCACCCATCTTCCATTAGATGATACGATGATTGTAGCAGTCAGCGATGACAATCGTTTGATCATCATCAACGAAGAGACCGAAAGGGCGGTAGAGTTGATTGGTGGCTCTGCCTTGTCCATGGTCTCCAGCAACGGTCACTCCATTCTGTGCCCATCGGGCATTGACTGGAATATTGGGAGTCACTACAAGGAACGCGAAAAAGAATCGTTATCTATGAATAACAAATTCTTCTTCGTCGAAGAGAACTTGATAAAACTTTCGAGAATGTCTTTCTCTAACATGCTCTAAACAAGCGAAAGGTTCTCCTAGTCTCATATGCAACAAAAAAAGAACTTGGTAACGATTCTCATGAGAATCCTTTTGAGATTCCTGGAAAGAGCTTTTTTTTGTCGGAGAGAAGCATTTCTGAAATACTCAAAAAGATCCTATTTGGATCTTGATCCTACGTTCGAAGAACGTATAGGGGATTGTTGTAGGAGTTAGCATTCTTCAAAATGTTGAGAAGTCTAATGCTAATAGTATATTATCTACTGATTGGAAAACATAGAGATTTTAGTCATCATTTTTTTTATCAGCCTCAGCATTTTTATAAGGATTTTATAAGGAGAACGTTGGATTCGATGCTGATCGTTGGATTTTCAGGATAATTGGAAACTTGCGGGTATTAATGAGATAGTCAGATTTAGAAAAAAGATAATTTTTTTTGTTGTTTTCGTGTTTGAAAGATGCGTAGTTCAATTCTCGACCGGGGCGGGGTCCAGGTTAAATCTTCGAAATTTCCTTGTGAGAAAGTGTCACAATATAAATATTCATATATAAACCAAAGATAGAATCAATTCTTTTTGAATCTATTTGTCAGTTAACTCGATAGAGTTTAAATACATGTTCCGACATGTAAAACTAGAAAATTAAAAGAGAGAGTATTTCCAAGTGTATATATACTCCCAAAAAGCAAAAGTTGGACACTGTATTTTGGGCATATCATTGCTATAACAGCATATTTTTAAATAATAATACCATATTCAGAAAGTGCGTGAAATTCTCTACCTACCTGTATATTTATATTTTATTTTTCGATTCTGAATGATCAACATAAATTGAGTATAATGAAGACACCCTCATGTCCTGATTCCCACAGACATGATTTCGTCACTGTAATCAAATGAAGTTTTTTAGATTTTGCATCACCGTAGAATGATTGTTTTGAAAGAGCAATTATATATTCTGATAGCGCTTGAAATTCTCTATCTTTCTATATATTTGTTTACTCTCTTACATTTATCTATTATAAAAATAATATAGGAACAATGAAGTCATCTCAGTTGACAATTTCGAAAAATCTTGTGTATGATATATTTTTTTGAGCTATAAGTAAAAAGAAAATGATTGTTTTTATAAAAGTGATTAAGCATTCTGATAAAGCTTCAAATTCTCTATCACCCTATATATTTTTGTTTTATCATATATTTGTGTGTTGAATAATAAATCGAGTAACATTCAAACATCCTCGTTGATCAATCCTAAGTTAGACAGAGAAAATTAAAAAAAAAATAGCGAAAAAAGTTGTGGATTTTTTCGAAATTGTCAACTGAGATGACTTCATTGTTCCTATATTATTTTTATAATAGATAAATGTAAGAGAGTAAACAAATATGTAGAAAGATAGAGAATTTCAAGCGCTATCAGAATATATAATTGCTCTTTCAAAACAATCATTCTACGGTGATGCAAAATCTAAAAAACTTCATTTGATTACAATGACGAAATCATGTCTGTGGGAATCTGGACATGAGGGTGTCTTCATTATACTCAATTTATGTTGATCATTCAGAATCGAAAAATAAAATATAAATATACAGGTAGGTAGAGAATTTCACGCGCTTTCTGAATATGGTATTATTATTTAAAAATATGCTGTTATAGCAATGATATGCCCAAAATACAGTGTCCAACTTTTGCTTGTTGGGGGTATATATCAGAAAAAGATAAAACATGAAGTATGACGAACGAGTTGAAATAAAACTGCTATAGTTTTACCTATTATTAGTGTAGTTTTAAAAATTTCTTTTCAGATTTCGTTTGATTCGGTTTTAGAGATTTCGATTTCAGTTCAAGTCAAATATTAGGAAACATGAACCAATTCCATCACCTATATTGTTAGGATATAAGAGATTATATCTCGTCTTCTTATTCTTATTCTTTTCTTTTCTTCTTTTCTTAATTTCGTTCTCTATCGTACATGGATGATATATATATTCTTTTTTTTCCTTTCCTGCGTTCATGGTATATTCCATATTATTTTCTTTGATCTAGTTCAGGTGTGTTAGTATTTTCTCTCTCGTTTTTTCCCCATCGCATTTATATATATATAACCGTGATTTTGGAAATAAAAAGGAGATTAGACAGCGAACATCTAACTGGTGCATTAGTCGATTTATTGTACGCAACAACGACAATAAATTAATCGGAACTCGGTCGTTCCGCATTTTCATTATCAACTGAAGTGGTGTATGTCAACTCATCACCGCTATCCAACGAGAAAAATCATAGCAATCAGTCAAAAAATAAGCGAATTATCGTCTAAGTTACCGATGCGAACCAGAATGGCGTCATCACACACAGATGAAATCGCAACAACTATCAAGAAAATCGATGATTCACAAGAAAGTGACGACGAATAAAAGAATTCAAAGATCGATGTGAAAAATCAATCATTGAGTGGAACAAAAACAAGTCAATTACAAGCCGAAATCGAACAACTAAAGAAAGAATTGGAATTTATGAAATTGGAACAACAGCACCCACGCATGGATGCAGCAGATACTTCACAACCACATTTCTCTCATTCGTTTCCTCCGCTTACATCAATAGTACCTCATTCAAATTTACCAACGACTTCAACTCATTTTGTGATCAATACTGATCCACTTCAACAGATGAAAGATTTCGTGAAACCCTTTAACGGCAATCCTAATGACGATGTGATGAATTGGATTGAAAGCATTATTCATTATTTTGACATCGTCCAAATTCCGGGCAATAAAGAAACGTTGTACTTTCAATATGCTCCGGCATTTTTGAAAGAGTATGCCTACGAATGGTGGATGGAAAACAAACAATCTATAGTTGATTGGTCAACGTTCAAACAAGCACTACTGGTTCAATTTGCTGAGACAAATGAATATCTAATTGAGCAACAGTTGGACCAACGTAAACAACAATCCGATGAACCTGTCATCAAGTACTACTACGACATCTTCGACTTATGTAGGAAATACGACCCGCACATGTCTGACAAACAAAAAATTCGCAAACTAATGAACAGATTACGATTGACACTCTACCAAGACGCAATCAAAGAGATCTATACAACTCCATTCGAATTTTTGAAAAAGGTACAACACTTCGAAGATATCGAGAAATGATCGAGCTACGACAAGAGCAGATGGAAATTACGGCTACATTGACAAATACTGAACATTTACTATCAAAGCAATCGTTGTACAATCAATCTACGCGGTCGATATTTCGTCATATTACCAACACGAGACGACTTCCCGAATCATAGTCAATCATACTCGTCTCAACGTCGAATTGATCAATCATCTACACGGAATGTTCAATATTACAACTGTGGCCAATTGGAGCACATTGCTCGTCATTGTCAACGACAGAATGGTGATTCATTCGTCTCTAATCAGCAAGCTTATTCAAAAAACGAAAAGCAGGGGTGCCAAATGGTAGCTTCTCTGCATTACCAATAAAGCCATCTCTATCTGATCGTATACAAGCCAATGTAATTACGCCATTCATAATTCCATCATCGCTGTTGAACCGTTTTACTAGAAATGTATCTGATTTGAAGTCTACAGTGACTCCATCGACATCCGATAATCTACCTTGCATGATTGATATTAACATCGATCGAATTAGAAGTGAACAAATGAAGGATGTGAATATTTACCAACGGATGCAAGCGATCAAAAAAGATCCTTATTGTTTTCCAAAAAGCATATCATCTACCAAGAGATCTTGTTCAAATTAGTTACTCGAAATGGTTATACAAAATTTAAATTACTAAGGTTACCTACCTCGATGATTTCTGATGTTTTATCTGCATATCATGACCATCATATGAATGATAACGTTGTGGTCCACCGGATGTACAACAAACGCAAAAATAAATGTTTTTGGGTCCGAATGTATGATACAATCCGACAATATGTACGCTCTCATATCGAACGTGCTCAAATTAATAATGTACAACGGGAAAAGAAACTCAAATTATTTCAACACAAATTACAACCATTCGTTTTTGACCAACAATCAAGGGGGAAACAGCAGACTCCAGTTCCTTGTAGTCACGCAGAGTCAAGTGGAGTCAAGCGGAGTCACATGGAGTCTTGCAAAATTCTTGCCTATCTTCAGAAATTCATTATAGAAATTTGATACTGCTATGCTTTGATCATGTTAATCATGTCTACCATCAGAGGAAATAGATATTAGTCTCGATTTAGAGAGAAACATACAACATCTTTCTCTTTTTCGTACTCAGCCAAGCGGAAAAAGGCACACTCCACTCCTATAAAGCCCCTTGGAGTCCCGGAGTCTTTAAGTTTGCCATTTCTTCCTTAAACTGATCTGTTTGAAAAGTTCTTTTGACAGAAATTATTCAAAACAATTTCCAAAACAGAACAATATTACTGAGTACCCAGAAGTTGAATTACCAAAACAGAACAATATTACTGAGTGCCCGGTAGCTGTATCCCCAAAGTAGTGCGATTTTGTTCTGTTTTTGGAATGCAACTTCCGGGTATTGAATAATATCGTCAATAGGGAAATAACGGACTCCGTTTGCATGGAGTCACGCGGGGAGTCACGCGGAGTCAAGTGGAATCAAGTGGAGTCAAGTGGAGTCATGGAGTCTGCTGTTTCCCACGTGGTTGGTACTCACTGAGATCTCTCTATGATCAAAATTTCAGCTCTCTGATACGATCCGTTCATGA